CTCTAATTGTACCAAAGTCATAGTGCAGGGATTCAATGGTACTGATTTCATTGCCAGCTTGAAAATATATAAAAATAACTTTTCACCCAATTGTAAGTGAAAGAACATGAAGATAGAGATTGACATATATAAAAATAGATATTTAAATAAAATTAAACTTACTTTCATATTTTTCTTGTGGTTTACTCTTTCGTCTCATTCTTATGACGATGCCAATGAAAAGAGCAAGTATTAGACCCGCAACAATTGGAACAATAGTATTAATGATAATTGTTCGAGATGTATTATCATCCTTTCCTATAAAATCAAGAATAAAACCGTGATAATAAATTTACTACTTGGAATGTTTTTGTTAGAAGTAATACTTTTGTTAAGTTCTAAATCGAATTTAGCACATCATTTGATGTGTAGCATTAGACAACATTTAGACAGGGTTGGACAACATAAAACTAAAAAGATAGTTTTTTTTTCTCCCTTATTTAATAATATTAATAGAGTCCAATCCACCTTACAAGCATGCCATTATTGCCATATGATAAGACCTTTGATAGTCCCTTAACTATAAGGTAATAAAGGGATTGCCTGTCGGATCTCACACATAGCAGTTTATATATAGAGAAATAGTAGCTCTTATATGTACTCAAACCAAATTAGAAGTCTAGGATTTTCTCACCTGGTGGTGCCAGTATTGTTGGTGTTGGAGCTGACACTGGTTGTGGTGGTGGTGGTGGCGCCGGCGCCGGCTGAGGGATATCATTATAGAATGTATAGGTTTCATAACGAAGAATGCAGCTGGGTCTGATGATATTAAATCCTGGTCTTCCACTACAACAATGTGATAGAAGTTCGGTAATCTGATTCAGGCAAAAACTACAATTCTCCGAGGTTAAATCAGGGGTGCACTGCACAAGTCCATAAATAGTCAGCAAATCCGGTCCAGGAGTGTTTGCAGCAGCAAATTTCTTTAAGGAACCACCGTCAACCGCCGTGTTGCGTAGCCTGTTCAACAATGTTCTCACATCCTGGTCGAACTCGCTCCTATTTGTGACAATTTCATCTCCCCACCCACCAAAAGAGGGATGATTTTCAGGTTTTCCAAATATGGATTCGTTTGAGTAGCGTAACATACACAAATCGAAAGAACCCCAAAAAATCGCTTGTTTTTGATGAGGACAGGACTGTAAGATAGAGCGTGCGGCGTTAAAGATACAACTACGGCATGTATCGAGCAGAACATCTCCTCTACAGAGTGCAATAACATTGACTCTATCAGCATTTTCTCCCATGGAAGTGTTGTAGAATCCATTGGAATCCATATTAGAGGAGATGGAGGAGAGAAGGGTATTAAGGTTAGCTCTGTAAGTGCTATTACTCGTGTAATTACCATTCTCTCCACATTTATAAGTCAGGGATTTAACGTAACTAAAAAGGTATGTCATATTGAGGAAA